AGCTTGGAGGGTTAAGAATAGAGTAATAATTATTCAGTTATTGTGTTGTGAAGCTTATTATTACACAAAAATAAGAGAGTCTCAATTATTTGTGTGATAGCTGGTTTATGAGAAGAACTGAGAAACAAATGCAGTTTTACAAACTGTTTATAAACTTCAACAGTTTATAACTTTAAAGTTATGACTTTCTTGGTGGGGGCTGGTATTCTTGACTGTGTAAAGTTATTATAATCCCTTAAGAGCCTCAGTTACAATAGTCAATAATTCTGACTCTACACATACTTGCTATTTAACCAGACTGCCTAATTAGGATATCAAGGCAAAAGAGAAGCTTTGTATGTTATCACACACTTACAATCCCAGCACCAGGGGAGATTGAGACAAGAGCAAGTTCAAAGACAGTTTGTGTATGCAGTGAGTTTGAGACAGGCCTGGGCTACATAGTAAGACTCTATCTTCAGGCCCGGCTCATTTGTTAAATGTGCTAAGCAACCGTCCATTGTGCTGGTCAACCACCAAAGGCGGATGGTACAGTGGTCCTCCAGAGCATCTCAAGTTCCCTTCCTAGCCTCCACATTTTTTCCTGACTTTATGTGCCTCTGCTTAGACATCTGCTTTGCTAGTGCCCCTGATCACTGTATTAGTTGTGCTTGGTACCATGACCCTGACAGTGTAGAAGGCACCTTTATCTTCTTTGGGGATTAGAGAAACTTAGTTTTCCCTATTAGTCACAGTATTTTGAGTAAACCAAGGCTTGTGTCTTGTCTTGGAGGAACCCAGCAAATATCAGCCACCGTTATTAAGAAATTTAGACATGCAGCCAGAGAGATGGCACAGTCGGTGAAGCACTTGGCTCGCAAGTGTGGCAAGATGAGTGCAGAGCTCCAGCAATCACAGAAAGGTTGGAGTGCCTTAGCGGCTGCCTGTAACCCTGTTACTTAGGAGGGAGACACAGGGGTCCCCAGGGCAGAGTGGTCAAATCAGGGAACTCTGGGTTTAAGTGAGAGGCCTTGCCTCAAGAAATAAGGTTGAATAAAATATTTAAGTGTGGGAAAGCTATGGTAAAAAACTTTTTTTTTTCTGAGACAGGGTTTCTCTGTGTAGACTTGGCTGTCCTAGATTCACTTTGTAGACCAGACTGACCTTGAACTCACAGAGATCCGCCTGCCTCTGCCTCCCTGAGTGCTGGAATTAAAGGTTTTTACCACCGTGCCCAGGTGTGTGTGTGTGTGTGTGTGTGTGTGTGTGTGTGTTATTTACATGCATTGCATTGGTATTCTGCTGCTTTACAGATGTATGTCTGTGTGAAGGTGTTAGGGTATCAGATTTTGGAGTTCGACAGTTGTGAGCTGCCATGTAAGTGCTGGGAACTGAAGCCAGGTCCTCTGGAAGAGCATTCAGTACTCTTAGCCTCGGAGCCATCTCTCCAGCCCCCATGTGTGTGTGTATTCCTATGGAAGCTGCAAAGTTATCATCAGCTCTACCAATCCACTGTGAAATGGCATGTATGCCCCGGGCAACTCTCTATTGTAGTAGCATAATTAGAAGGGAAACTGGTAACTTAACAGCTGTAAAATATTCTCCATATTCTGACGTTATCTTTCACGTATTGTTTGTTTTTAACCCCTGGAGGCCGAGCTGCCTGAGGAGGATGCAGGGGATGAAGAAGCTCCGGGAGAGCAGCAAGCGTTCTCTGCTGAGCCATCTCTGTGGCCCCTGGTGGTGCTCCTTATCGCCAGGCAGGCAAAGCCGTCAAGTTGCTGCGAATGAAGGTATTTCCTTCTGTACAGGGAGTACTGCAAACTTTTCATCACTTAACAGCTTCACACTTGATTTTAGCCAAAAGGGGGAGCAATGTTATTACTTAACAATTTTCAGTCATCTCGGTTAGCAGTTTGACTGTACATATTTTTCCCTTTGCCACTTCAGAGATTATCAAATGATCATTTAAAAAAATATTTTAAAGTAGTTGTGTTAGTAAGAACTTTGTAAATAAAAGACTTAAAACCCTAATATACATTTATATAAAATATGAAATAATAATATATATGAAATATGGTTGCCAGCATAAACTGTGCTCTTGTTCCAAGAAATAGGAACCCACACAAACCAGCCCAAGTAAAAAGGTGGTGCTAGGCACAGGGGCCCTACCATTAGCAGTTGTGAGAGGTAGTCTCATAGAAATGTCTGTCCAGAAACGAACAAATGACAGCAAGCTCCATAGAAAGCAGTACTGTAAGATCATCTTGTTTTGAGAGCCTGGCTCTGGGGCTCTGCCATTGATGTGGCCTGACTACCACCCAGGGGTCAGCTTTTCCTTGTTTCTCTTCCCCACTTCTCTGAATTGAATGTTCTCTGAATGTTTTCCTGAGTATGCCTCCGGGTGAACACGAGAAAACTTGCTACTAATCACTATTGCGAGTGACACCAAGAAATGAAAACAGGAGGCCTAGGTCCTAACCACTGATTGATCTTGAAGTTCTACAAATAGCTGGGTATGTGAACCCAGGCAAGCTGGCCACTCAGCCGTGAGACCTGGGACAGGCCCCGCTCACTCCATCATTACTAAATCAGAACACAAACCTGTTCTTTTCCTAGGGTTGGGATAAGAGGGAGGCTCTGTACTTGCCCAGTCACTAGGTGGCAACAGACCTGTTTCCCTCAGTAATGGGTCAGAAGAGCCACCTGAAGGAGAGGTTTCTCTCTCCTAAACTCCCAAACAAGCTCTGCTTGCTTCTACTCACCCATATCCACAGGTCTACTGCTGTGGTTTGGATATATACTCAAGCCCTCAAGCCCCCAGTCCTCCAAGAGCTGTTGCTTTAAGATGCGTGTTCTCAGCTGCTGGCACTATTTTTAAAGTTCTAGAAACTTTGGAAGGTGAGGCCTATCTGGAGGAAATAGGTCACTCAGGGCATACCCCTGGGACAAGTGTCTCAGTGTCCTCTCTCTCTCTCTCTGCTTCCTGTCTGCAGTGACATCCAGTCTCATCATAAGCCCAGAGTTAGCAGAGCCAAGGACAATAGAAACATCTGAAGCTCTGAGCTTAAAGACCCCAGCCCTTCCTTGCTGCGTTGGACATTCTGTCACATCAGAAAGAAATCTGTGCAGCTCAGTTACCAACTCCACTCTAGCTAAAGTCATCTGGGAAGTAGGAAGCTCAGCTGAGAAAATGCTGGCCTCAGACTGGCCTGTAGATATGGTTCTTGGGGCATTGCCCTGATCTGTGATTGCTGTGGGAGGGTCGTGAGCAGATGAGCCAGGGTTCTATCAGAAAGCAAACTGAGTAAGCCACCGGGAACAAGCCAGTAAGCAGCCTTCCTCCACGGCCTCTGCTTCAGGTCCTGCCTTGAGTTCCTGCCCTGACTTCCTTCAGTGATAGACTGTGATCAGGATGGGTAAGCCCAATAAACCCTTTCCTCCCAAAATTGCTTTTGATCTGTGAAAAATCACAGCAACGGAAAACAGAAAAAGAGTCAAAGCTAATACACACCTGAGGCCCTAGCAAACCTTTCCCCTCCCCCAAAATGTCGTCATAAGAATATTAAGCATATCCTAGTTTTTGAGACACCTTTTGTGCGAGCATGCGTGTCTGTGTGCATGCGTGTGAAAATGCATTCACTCCATGCCTTTGTAATTAAATTGTCTCTCCCCTTTGCTCTGGGCTGTACTCTTAATAGCTCTACTTAGAGGTGCTTTCTTTTTACTTATTATTAATCATCAGCTGGCTGTAGTAGCTTGGGCTTTGATCTCCCTTTTGTCGGAACACCGCCCTCCCTGTCTGCTCCTCAGTCTCCCTCATAAATAGTAATGACACAAAAACAGACTCTCAGGAGCAGAAGGAGCCTAGGGCCAGCTTCCCTCGGGCCTGCGAATTGTCATTCCTGAAGCTGTGTGCTCTGTAAGTTCTTCTGCCAGGTTTCTTTGGGAGCAGAGGGATCATTTTCTCCCTTTTCAAAGACCAGGGTGAGTTGAGGCCTTGAGCTGGCAAGTCCTTTAAAGTCATTTTCAAAGGAAACCTGAGCTGTAAGGCCGTGCGGTTGGCGCAGGGCGGAGCGACTTTCTGCAGCTCTCTCTGGGGCTTTGGGTGGTCAGCTCCCCTAGCTCCCCAACACGTGCTCAGAGACTGCCGCAAAGCCACTGCCAAGAGCCTACCAGTAGGCACACGTCCCCTCTCCACCACCACCCAGGAACAGGAAGGAGATGCAGGCTTTCTCTTTGGGGCCCATTACCCGAACCACACTTGTCTTCCCATATCTCAGATCCTGTCAGTCATAGTTGCTCCTTGGGGTTTTCTGAGGTAAAATACAAATGGGTGCCAAAACAGGCTAGTGCAAACTGACATCTGAATCATGGACTCACAAATGGTCCAGTTAATCCAGTCTCCTCTTGGATAGGCCAAGACAAGAGACCCCCCCAGCAGAAAACAGCGACTCAAATGCACAGGAAGTGACGGCTGAGCTCCAGCACTGGGGTAGAGGCTTACTCGGCTTCTGGCCAATTGTAAGGTTTTAAGACTATAAATGTCCATCGGTCACCCAGGCACTAATGCCGAGAACGCGTGGCTAAAGCCAGACAGACACCTCTCACCTGCCCCATTTAGCCAAGTGAAGAAAACTTGTTTATGAAGCCAGGGCCAAGATGGGACTTCTCACTTTAGGAGGGAAAAATACTCTACTGAGGCCCAGACCATGACATGTTTGTGCCTAAAGAGCAAGGAGTGGAGTTATCAAGAGCACAGTTCCGAGCTGGGGAAGGGTCCATTCAGTTTCTCTACGTGACCTTCAGGCCCGGTGTCTGGGCTCTGCAGCTGATCCTGGTGTTTACAACCAAAACAGGCAGAAAGTGACTTGGACAAACCCCAGGCTAGCCTCAAGTAATGTCCCTCTCTGACCTCTCCCGCCAGCAGCCCCTCCCTCTCCTAGAACATTTCCCACTGGAACAGGAGGCTGGATTCACCAGGACCTCGACGCAAAGACAAATCCCCAGAAAAAGCTGGCTCGACTTTTCAATGTTTTATTCTTATATTTGTACAGCTATATTTTACAACGCAATAATGCAGTTTAGACACAGCCAAACCCTGTCTCCGGAGTAATTTAAAACAACAAGCATGACGCAGAATGTGGGAGGAGTCAGACATTCCCAAAGAGAGTTTAGTTAGTGACAACTTCTTCAAGTCCCCGTGTCTGCCTACGCGTCAGAAAGGGATGGCGCACGCTCGTCTGTCATTGAAAACTTCCGTGAAAAAAGGCACCGTGAACACGTTACAGGTATATACAAACTGAAAACTAGAACAAAAGTATACATTTCTCCTTCTGCAGCTTTTTTTTTGTTCTTTTTGTTTTTAATACACACTTTGTAAATTGTAAACCTTCACTTGCAAAAAAATACAAATACACTGAGGCATTTTAGACAAAATATTTTCTTACTTATACAGACGCAATACTTAAAATAGTCTCTTAAGTGCTCTTTCTCAATAAAGATTCTCAGATCCGTGTCTGCCTGCAGATACAAAATCGAGCCTTTAACGCAGTTTTATATTTTCAATATATCTTTTTTAGGTTTATATATTTATATTATATATATATAATATTTATATATTTACAACTCTGCCATATATTCCTTCACCTTTGGTTAAAAAAATTAAAGCCCTCTCTTTGACAACATACTGAAGTCTTGTCTTTTAAAACAATACACATTTACATACAAAAGAGATCTCTGTTCCCACAGAACATTTACATTCCTCTTGTTACAACCTGTCAAGTCAGAACTTTTGCATTCTCCCCTGCTTTGATATAGAAAAATGATTTTGATTTTTGCTGACATGGTTTGCCTTACACATAGGAGAAGAAGCAATAGTATTTTCTTAATGTTTTATGGCAGTGTGGGAAGGGGAGCTGCCTTGGCTCCCCGTCCCGCAAACCCTACCCCCACCCCCACCCCAACTATGATTTGCACTAGTGGATGAGAGAGGCACTACATCATGGGATGACCTTTGTAAAGTGTTACAGCATCCTTTGGGTAGATTCTGAGAAGGGGCTGGAAAGGAAAAGAGTCAACGCTCCATGCTTCAGCAGGCTTTGGGGAGCTCCGGAGGCAGGTCGGCGGCGGACACCCGGTACTGCACCTTGGTGTTGGTGATGGCGCCGTGCTTCTGGCGCAAATGAAGTCGCAGCTGGCTTTTGTGACGAAAATGCAGGTTACACTTCTCACACTGGAGAGACAGCAAGAGCAGAGCGTTAGCTGTCATCAACTCGGGAAACATGTCACTGCTCAAAAACCCAGAGGAGAGATGGCTCTGTGAGGGCTGGGTGGAGGCAGCTCCTCCTTCTCAAAGGGCAGGCTTAGCACTTGTTTGAATCTTGGCTCCCACTGCACTTTAAGTAGACATTGTGCAAATGTCCCAGCTTTCCCTTCCACTCATGTGTCCCTCAGGCTTGAAATGTCCTTCCCTGACTTAAGTGTGTGAGTACAAGTCTTATCCAAAAGATAAGTTCAGATGCAAACTCCCCTAATTAATAACACATTTCTCAACCTAAGATAAAATAATTTATCTCTTCTTAGCTCTCAGATCTGCAACCTTGCCCACAATGGTCCTGCTGTGCTAACGTCCTCATCAGGTGGCTAATGCTTTGGAGGTACTGAGCGCTTCTCATCGCAACTTTGTAGGCTCCCTACATCCTACCAGAAAACTGTGAAAGCAACAGCGCGAGTGAACTAAATAGCCTAAATTCATGGGGATTCTGGGAGATGATTCTTCAAATAGCATAGGTCCACTGAACCTGTGCCACCCATTGCTGTGTATCCTGGCCACATCATCTATCAAGACTTAAGGTTTCCCTTCTGTAAGCCATTGGGCCAATCAATGCCAAACATCACTATCAACTCTTATTGCCCCTGCGACTAAAATTCTAGCAGTTCGCAATACAGCTCTGTGCTTAAACGCCTCAAAGCACCGAATGGATTATTTCCCTAAATATAGCCACTTTATGACGCAGGCACTATTTGCCAAATCAATGTACAGATGAGGAAAGTAAGACCGTAAAGTTGAAAATAACCTGTCTGCCAAGAAACAAGTACAGAGATACTCATTCAAAGTCTTAAGAAGCAATGTACTTTGCCACTTATCAGCTGCGTGTGAGTGAGCCCTTCATTGATTAGTTCTTGTGCCCAGTGCTGCCCTTAATACCTCGGGGCAGCGCCATGCAATACATAAAGGGAATCGTGTGGCCGCTTTCCAATTGTGTTTGATTCAGGTCCTCAGAGAGTTAAATTTCAGACAAATTTCCAATGTCACGGTTTCAGCTTACGCCACATTCAAAACTTAACCAGCAGACTGTCGTGTGCTGAGGCTTTGCTCTGGGACATGACCATTCCAACAGCCCTAGCACCGCACAAAGTATGCAGGCACCTGCTTTTCTATATCTGCACCACAGTGCGTTCGGGTACCCGGGGAGGGCAGAAGAGAGGGATGAATCCCCTGAGCTGGAAATATAATAAAGATGGCTGTGAACCACCCAATCTGAGTGCTGGGAACTGAACCCTCATCTTCGGAAACAGCGGCAAGTGCTCTTAACTCCCACACCACCTTCCAGTTCGCCCCTGCCCTTTCCTGAAACAGTGTTTTCTACATCTATTTTTGGTCTTGACTTTGGTGGGTTTCTTTGCCATATCTCTCTGGTTGCTCTCCTTCTTCTAAGCTCCTCTTCACCACCTTAGCTACTCTTTCGCACATAGCTAGTGGAAAGGTATGCTGGAGACGCTCACGTATTTGTGGAACGATTAAGTGTCTCCTTTCCTAAGGCTCAGGTCACCCAGAGCAACGCCTCCATTTTAGAGATGAACACTGAGACCTGGGACTGTTGGCGAGGGGGATGTTGACCTTCAGGGCCCAGAGGTGGCTCTCCTGACCTCTAGTCCCCTGCTCCAACACTAGAGGTTGGAACCATCGGCTCTACTGCCCACTTGCCCCCACATCCCTCCCGCCCCGGTGGGCCAGGAGCCACGGCGTTTACGTACATGGTAAGGTTTCTCTCCTGTGTGGATGCGCAGGTGGCTCTTCAGGGTCTGCAGGTGCCGGAAGCGGGTGCCGCAGATTTCACAGGGGTACGGCTTCTCTCCAGTGTGAATGAGCACATGCGCGCGGAGGTGGGCCACCTGAAGGAGGAGGGCGGCGTGAGGGGTGCTGCCAGGGCGCACCGCCTGCCCACGACCAGCTCCCCATGGGGGGGGGGTCCCTTCTCCACGCTGCTCTGCTCACCTGCACGAATCTGGCCCCACAGGTTTCGCATTTGTAGGGCTTTTCTCCAGAGTGGATTCGAGTGTGGGTCTTCAGGTTGGCCGGCCGATTGAACTGCGCTCCACAAATGTTACAGCGGTAGGGTTTCTCGCCTGTCGCCGAGCCAAAGGGAGAAAGGAAATCATATTAAATGGAGGTCAACACTGGCCCTTAATGTCAAGGTGACTAACTGCTCCCATCCGAGGCCACTGATGCCTTTTGTTGCTATTTCATAACTGTAATTTTTGCTACAGTTACGAATCGTACTGTCAGTGTCTGTGTGTTCGGATAGTCTTGGATGACCCCTGTGAAAAAGCCACGCAACAGAACCCCAGGGGTCGCGACCCACAGGTTGAGAACCACTGGTCTAGGGCCCTACTTACACCCAGCAGGGTGCAAAGCCAAGGAACAAGCAGGTGGACAGGGTGGGATAGAAACGCTGTGAGTCGGACACAGTGGGGGAGATTTCAAGATGCCAAGCCCGCAGAACTAGTGTTGTCCTTAGTGTCATCTGCCTATACAGGGCTTGAGCAGGACTCAGTCCTTCTCTGGGCCTCAGTTTCCCTCTCTGAATAGACAGGGCCGATTTGGACAATCTGGGAAGCCTCTTCTGGCTCTTCCCTTGGTCAGACTGACGCAACAATCCACCAGGGAGATACAATCAGGCTGCTCTAGTTTCTCTCTCAGAACATACTTTTCCGCTTGTGGCAGCTACAGCTGTATTCCATTTGCAAGCAAGGCGGGGTGTGGGGCTGAGCTGAGGCCAGGCAGAGGAAACCAATCTACGGCTGAGCCTTCCACCATGGAAAGTTTCAGGGAGAATGGGGCCGCTGAAAGGTCTGAGAGCTGGTGAATGCCCACAACAATGAGGTTGTGAAGCGCATCCCGGGAAAACGAATGGAACTTGCTTGAGAAGTCCTTGAGGAACATCAAGAGGCTTTTATTTTTAGCCGGCTTTACCCAAACCCAATCCACTTTGCCTCTATCAGCATTAGTCTCCTCACTCAACCAGGGGGATTAAAACTTCTGACCCCAGCAAAGGCAGAGAAGCAGGACAAAAATCACCGAGGGAACAGAAAGAGTAGGAAAAGTAGCAGAGACAAGACAGGGTTATCCCCTTCTTCACTGGTTCTCAACCTTCCTAATGCTCCAACCCTTTAAAATAGTCTCTCATATTGTGGTGACCCCTCCCAACCTTAAAATTATATTAATGGCCACTTCATGTTTGCAATTTTGCTCCTGTTATGAATCATAAGGTCAATATCTGATATGCACGATATATGATATGTGACCCCTGTGAAAGGGTTATTTGACCCCCACAGACAGGTCATGACCCACAGGTTGAGGACCACAGCCCTAGGTGAAGCCAGGGTGGGGGCCTGTCTCCTGCCTCCCTCCAACCAAGTCCCTAGGTTTGGCCTAAGATCCAGTATCTGCAACCCGGAACCATAGCACTCAGGGTGAGACAAAGCCATACCTGTGTGGACGGTCTTGTGGCTGGCGAGGTTGCCTTTGTAGCGGAAGGAGGCCTGGCAGCGGTCACACTTGTATGGTTTGTCACTGTGCGTCTGCAGCGTGTGCCTCTTGAGGGAGGCCTCCTCGGAGAAACGGCAGTCACATTCGTTGCAGAAGAAGGCCCCATTCTCTGCAGAGCGTGAAGGGGTATCATGTCAGCATGAGGCGGCAGGGCAGAGCTCGAAAGCCTCCCTGCTCTGAACTATGCCAGTGTTTCACCCGACCTCAGGCTCGTTACCCAACACTTACAGGAACCCATAGGGCCAGTGGGACTTTGCTTTTCCTTAGCATTTACAATCTCAGTCATGGAAGAGAGAGACGGGAGATAGACTGAATCTTAAGGTCGAGACGTTTCACTCCAGAGGCTCTCATATGCCCTCACCAATTTGAGGACAAGTTAGCTTTTCTCCTCCAAGAGTTCTAAGAAGTGTTTCTTATCAGTTCAAAGTTCAACTTCTTTCACACACAGAAGCCTTGGGGAAAGACTCTTTACCTCTCTAAGCCTCTCTTTGTCTCCAAAGTAAGGTTAATAATCCCTGTCCTGCCTACTCATAGAAACACATTATACAGTCAAAAAGAATGACAAATTATCAGGACATGAGACACAGATGTAATCCAATTATCCTTTAATTGGATCAATGAGGACTCCATGATCATCTTTGTACCTAGCTTCCTTTCATGTCTTCAAAACCCGTCTGTAATACTGGCACACTAAGGGAGATGGTAGAAAGGGGGACAGTGATGGGAACTAGGATGCAGGACAAGAAAATCATCTGGGCACAGGTAGGCACAGTCCCTAATTCTCCCTCTGATTTGTGATCCTTTGCCAAACTGCTCACTGTAAGCCAACTTCTTTCTTTTGTCATAATCATTTAAGAATGGTATACCACTGCAATTTAAGCCGTATTAGTTACTTCCTGGGTCATGAGAGACAGTATCTAGAGCTGTGTAGAGTGAGACTTTTCACCAGGTTAAAAATTGAGGAAGCCAATACTGACTATATGGAAATAATTAATTTAATAATTTAGTTCAACTCAATTCAGCAGACATTTTCTAACTACCTTCAACCATGCTAGGAACCAACTAAGGCCCATAGTTGGTTCCTACGAAATAACTAAAGCCAGATGTTTCTCCACAGAGTATCTATAGCCTACCAGGAAATGCTATTATGTACCCAGGTCAATACAATAGTTTTGACACAGACAGACACTGGGAAAGCTCAGAGGGTTCCAGCAGCCTTGCAGGCCACCTAATTTGGGACAAAGCTGAAGACTGCTCAGCCACCTACCCCTGGTGGCTTGTTTGAATCAGCCCATCTCCTGGGAGATGGTAAGGGAGGCAGGGTAACTATTGCTGGTGATGGTGGGTACCAATGTGCTTCTAATCTGGGTCACATCCCAGAGACAGAAGCACAAATAAAATGGAAATACAAAGCGGGGGGGTGGGGGGGTGGGGGGAGTGGGGGAGGAGCTTCCTTCTCCTGGGCATTGAGAGGGAGGGGCAGAAAGGGACTCACCACAGCTTGAATCGGAGTACTCTGACTGAGTTTCTCCCATCTCCTCGGGGAACGTGGGGCCAGCAGTGTGTAGGCACATCTCTGTATGCTGCGGGGACTGAGAGCCACAGGATGTGCACTTTGGGGGATGCATGTAGAGTGGGGAGTGACCCTCGCTGCTGCTTCGCGGGGAGCCTGTCAGGGACCTGCGGACAGGAAACAGGAGCCTCAGCACCCACCTGGGAAGAGCGGTCCACGCAGGGGCGATGCTGACCTCTCTCTTGTGCTCAGGCAAGCCCAGACACTAGAATTGCCCTCTCCCCCTCGAAGGCTCAGAGCACCACCCCCCCCAAGCCCTCCTCTGCTGGCTAGAGTCCATGGGGTGCCCAACTTCCACGTCCAGTCCTAGTTGTTTCTCCTTAAGGCAACTCCCACAACCTCTCTCAATCTAAAAGAGGGGTTCCCTGCTCCTTCAAGACCGCAGGAAGTGCCTCTGGGATTTGTGGAATGCTTTTCTCCCACACAAGGGAATGCCCTCTCTTGCTATGAAAAAACAAAACAAAATGAAAGGAAAATACAACTTGAGTGTAATATGCATCCCGACTCGGGCTAATCACCCCTCAGCATTTCAGATAAAAACAAACTAGCCCTGTACTCTGCATCCGTCCGAAGTGACTGACGCCCCGGAACTGCACTGGGGAAGCCCCTGACCTTAGACCCACAGGGCCTCTGAAATCACCTGTTAACGATGTTATTGAGCCGGCTGGCTTGGGGGATGGTAGAGTCCTCTCCACTGGCACTGAGCTTGGTTGGAGACTGAAGATCAAGGTTCGCAGGCTCCATAGGCGGCTGGCAGGCAGGCGGGGCAGGGTAGGCCCGAGGGGAGAGGCGACCCAGCTCGGCCTGCTCAGAGCCCTCTGGTTTGGCATTCTGATTGAGGCTGTTCAGCACGATGAACTTATACTTTTTCCAGTTGCAGGCTTTCGGGTCAGTGGGGCTCTTGGCTGGAGGGGAGCCAGAAGCCTGAAGGATGCAGGCGCTCTTGCTGCTGCAGGACTCCGTGGGTGAGTTGGGCTGGCAGTCGGATTTCTGGGGACTCTGGGGACTAACCAGCCCCTTCCGATTCAAGGGAGCATTGGGGGGCTCGAAATGCAGGGCGATCTCATCCTCGGAAGAGGGTCTCTCTTCTTCTTTGCTGGCTTTGTCGCAGGGGAAGTAGGGGGCGCTCCGGGCAGAAGGGGCAGCAGGCTTGGGACCCTCAGGCACGCTGTAGTGTATGTCACTCCGAACGTCCTCTGGGACCGCCTCCTTGGGCGAGTAGATGCTGCTGTGGCACAAGCCGGGGGACACCTCCATGGCCGGCCTGCTGTACTCACTGGGGACTGGCCTAGCACTGTCGCAGGGGAGAACCCGCTCCTTGGGGAAGGGGTTGGCCACAGGCATGCGGGGGGCGTCTCGGAGCTCCTCGTCGGAGAAGAGGAAGCTGCTGAGCGGGAGATGGCTGTACATAGGATAGGAGGCTGGTGGTGTGGACAGGCCACTGTACAGACCAGGGGCAAAAGCTCTGCTCTCACACCCAGGGGTATTCCTTAGTGGCAGATTGTTCTCCACAACCTCACGACCTCGATAGGCCATGATGTCATGGGGCATCAACATCCGGCTGTTCAGGAACTCTTCACGTGGTGGCTTAAGTGCCGGGACCATTTCTGCTTCACTGTGGGGGATTAAAAAAAAAAAAAAAAAAGACCCAAATTAGAACTGTTGAACAGATGACCTTCCAGTGACACTGTTATATAACCACATCCGTGCTTGAGTCAGCTAGACATGGGAGATGTGGCTCTGGGGGTAGGGAAACACAATTATAGGGCCTTTATACCCAGAAGTCTACCAAGCTGGGCTACAGTTGGGGGAACAGAGGAAGATGAGCTACTCAGATAATCTGTGTCTTATTGGGCATGGTCTTGGGAATGTGAGAAACCTATGTATGAATGTCTTGGAAACTGTAAGTCTTCTCACATAGACTTGCATGGGTTATAGAAAAGCTTTTAAAGCCCTTATCTCATTTCACGTGTGCAAAAAGTCCTGCAGGGCAAAGCAGGCCATATTATATACACGGAAACAAGGAAGGAAGGATATGTACCATGTTGGAACTATGCGATCAGATCATATTAACTAAAAGACCTGTCCCGTGTGCTCAACAGATTCGCAGGGAAGTTGCTGAGGGAGAGCAGGCAGTGCCCAGGGCAGAAGCCCTGGCTCTGGTGCAGCCTGGCCTGATTTGCAAACCCAGCTCTGACCTGGAGCAAGTTGCTTAACCGTTCAGAGCACAAGGCCTGGCCTGTATAAAGTACTCCCAAATGATGGCAAAGATGAACTTGCCACCTTTATCACCCACTGGAGACGAAAACACTGGCTGCAAATACTTAAAGGGACTTATGTGGGTGAAAAAAGTAGGGCACACTCTCCACTGACAGAGCTAGAATCCGAAAGGGAGGGTTAACGGGGCCAGATTCCAAGAGGCTGTACAGAGAGACTTTCCAACTACCTGAGGTAGATGGTACGGCTCTGAGAATGGGAGTTTTCAGTCCCTGGAAGTGGTTAAATACAGACTAGAAATCCCTTCTGTGGAGAAAGGAGGAAGTTCTCCTAAAGCTCTGCAGAAGTTAAGCCTCACGCAACAGCTCCCTAGACCAAGGAGGATCACTTTGATTCTCAGGATCCTCCACCTTCTGATAATGTGCATGTCTCCTGCCTCTTGTGTAAGGGTTAGACCCAGTGAACTCAATTCTGTTCATTCAGTGTCCTCCCAACTAGGAGCACGAAGACATAGACGAAGAACAATGCAGCTCCATAAACTCAATGCAGCCTGTGCGTGAGTAGGAGACCAAGGCACCTGTATAAATAGTTATCATAGAATTCTAAAGGAGAACTAACATGTTCAGACAAATGTTAAGAGAGGGAAGGTCAAAAGGAAGAGCAAAATGCCGCCTGCCAAACACGGATGAGCTGAGGAAGTCAGAAAAACGGCCATGGAAAAGGCATCCAGTTTTGGCTTTGTAGGGGTGGGGGGGGGGAAACTAAAGGAAAATAGCGTGAAGGTGGGTGAGTGGGGTACACAGAACATATACATCTGGGCTGCTGCAAGGAATGACATCTACCTAGAGTACATGAGTGAAGAGTACAAGCATAGGATAAACATAGAAAGAGAGATACCCTGTGTCATGAAGGCTGTCAAAGCACACGCGATTCCTGATCTAGCCTTTATCCACTGCTTCTCCTGGGGCAGCAGCTCACCTGGCCTTGATGAATTTCCTGCAGGTGTCCACAACATGCTCCATCTGTAGGTACATGGCTGTAGCCATCACAGCCATGATGTTGCCTTCCCGAAGGTTGAGCCTAGATGTGTACATGAAGTCCAAGAGGATGCAGAACCCTTCAGGGTTGATCTCAGGATCCAGGTTGATTACACTGAGGTTGCATTTCAGCTGGTCAGTGAAGATGCTGTAGAACAGGCCGCTGCAAAGCAAACAGAGGTGCCACTATAGTGACTGCAAAGCATCTGTGTGCCCGGTCTTCCCAGAGCCCAGAGCTCCATGGCACTTAATAATGACTTCTACTTGTGGAAGTCCAGCAGGTCCTGGGAATCCCTTAAGCGTTTTGCATATTTACATTAGCCTGTCTTCTCCCTAATCCTGCAAGGTATGAACCACCACCGTGTTCCACCCTTACAACTGGGAAACAGGGTATGGAGATACTCTTGGGACCACATCACTGGTTTCTTTTCGTCTAGTTTAGAACTCATCTGCAGTCACTGTTCTTACTGTATGTGTTTGTTGTGAATATTTTCCTTGCTTTATCACAAGAGCTTTATTTTTAAAAGTCTATTGCATGAGGAGTGGGCAGGGGATGGGTAATGAAGATATATCCATGTTTATACTCCACTGCCTTGCTCAAAGTGTAAAGAATACCAGAAGGTCAATTATTCCTAGAAGATATTTTTATTAATTAACTCAATTTACATCTCAGTCATAGGCCCCACCCCTCTCCCCTCCCAGTCCCATCCTCCCTCTACAATTCCTCAGAATAGGGACACCCAGACACCCCAGCTCATCTATTCACATGAGGACTGAGTTTGTTTTCCTCCCCTGTGGCCTGGTAGGGAAGTCCCATCAGGAAGAAGTGATCAAAAAGCAGGCAAGATGCCTCCTTAACTAGTAGGCCCACATGAAGCTTAAGATGCCCATTGGGCTTATCTTCTTGGGGTCTGTGCATTTTAGTATGTTTATTCTGTACTATATGACTAAAATCCATTTATAAGTGAGTATATACCATGTGTGTCTTTCTGGGTCTGTTCCTAGAAGATTTAGGTCTAATCCCAAACCATGACTTCAGGTCATGCTGTCTAGTCAGTTAAAACTAGAAGTCTAGGCTACACTGTTGTCTCAACTCTACTCATTCTGGGTGGGATGCTGGATTGAGCCAGGCCTTCTCCAGTAAGTAGCTCTTCAACCATGGTGAATATCCTTAAATTCTCTGCACCTTGGTTTCCTGATCTGCTAAGTAAAGGGATATTCGTGGATGTGCTAAATAGGGTTGTAGCTAGAACAAAAACACTAAACATTAGCTATTCTATTATATCTCTATAAATTCCTGTTCCCATATTTAAAATTTTTAATGCAGTTTATTTTTATTCTCTCTCTCACACACACAGACACACACGGAAACACACACATTAGCCAGATAATGTGTTCAAGGCCATCTTAATCTACATTAAACCCTGTCTCAAAAAATATACTTTTAAGGGTGGTAGTCGTGCATGCCTTTAATCCCAGAACTTAGGTAGTAGGTGCAGGCAGATCTCTGTGAGTTCAAAGCCAGCCTGGTCTACAGAATGAGTTCCAGGACAGCCAAGACTAAACACAGAGAAACCGTATCTCAAAAAAATAAAAACTGAATTTTTTTTTAATAAAGTACAGTTATGCCATAAAAGATCACTGACTTTCCAGCTGGGTTAAACTATTTAGGAGCTCTCTTTTGCATTTCATCCTCACACTGGTTAACTCAAGGTACTCTCTGCTGGCCGCAGACACATCTTGTCTTTAAGAGTATATGATTTCTTCACCTATTATGCCCAGAAATTCTTTTCCAAAGATGTGTTCATTCAATTGTTTCCTTGAGTCCACAGCACAAGTTCCTGTGCTGAGATCTGGAGACTAAGGGAGTGTCATCTCAGACACAGAATGGTCTACGTATTCACCTCGCTGGCTGCCAATCCCAGCACCCCATTTTATGTGGTCACCCTCCAACCCCAAACCACTCACCTGCAGGCCATGAGCACTGTCTTATGGGCTCTGAACTGCTCACGGCTCACCACGATGACAACGTCAGTCAAGATGTCCCGACTCCGGAGACGATTAAGGTTGAGAAGAACGTCACTCGCATGGCGGGTGAACTGGATACAGCTGTCAGCCGGCGAGGCCATGTTGTGTTTGCCTGGACAGAAGTTAACACTCCTGTTAGACCTTGAGAACCTATTTCCTGCTTACCAAGAATACCGATGTGATGACTTAGCCTGCTAAGGGATAGAACGCAACTCAGGGAACTAGTGGACAATTCATAGCCATCTCTGGACATTACTTCTCATAGCTGTCAAATGGGGAGAATAAAGGCTAGGGGAGAAAGCTCTTTAGGGGAAAGGGGAAAGGAAGGACTGAGAGTGGAGTGTTTTTCTGCACACTAAAGGCTCTGCCAAGCATTGAGAGGCAGGGAGTGTGTTGCAATGGAGAGAAAACCACTCTTGGAGAGTTACCCAGCTAGCTTTGCCTTTCACCAGCTCTGTTACTTAGAGTATGCTGGTACAGTTCCTGGGCTTTGGTTTTCCAAAATAGGAACAGCAATACCTATGTGGTTTTTAAAATTAGAAATATGTGCCTACACCATAATAGGTTTTTTTTTTTAAAAAAAAAGCATAGCTATTTTTATCAGCATATCATTTCATTATTTATCCCATGTTCTGCAATTGTTTTGTTCAATAGTTTGAGTATTTAGCAATACACAATGCCTGCAGAGTAGGTAACCATGTTAGCCTGAACTAAGGGTGATTAAGGGAATGAATGAATGACACCACACAATGGTACTAAAGTCAGTGTCAGGTCAGAGGGATGAGGGCTGAGATCTGTATGGAGAGAATTCATTATCCTTTGTTTAAGAGAAAGGTGACAGACCACACACACACGCGCGCGTGCACACACACACACACACACACACACACACACACACACACACACCCCACAGGCTTGCAACATTAAAGTTAAAAAGAAACAATTCACCTACAAATTTTATAGCATGTAATTTGATTTACTTACCCAATGCCTTGCTTCACAGTCCAAAATTTTGCTTTAAAACTGCAAAGAAGAGAGCAAACAGAGATTGACTAAATGAGTGTTAAGATTGTCCACTCCAGTCTTATTTTAGGACACACGTAGTTAGCTTTGCTTTGATAGCTGCAGCCTGCCAGCTGGTGCGGTTTCCCCACAAGCTAGCAAACATATTCCAGCTCCATCCTTATAGAAACAGCAGGCATTTAGTAACAATGCCTTCTCCTTATGGGTAAAGGAATACCATTGCATACATTAATTAAATATACCTGCATATATATATATATATATATATATATATATATATATATATATATATATATACACACACACACACACACACACATCAAAAGGCCATTTGAGTTTATGGGAAAAAATAAGTAGTTCTTTCAATATTAATGAAAATGATTCTTCAGGAGCCTAAAAACACTGGATGCTATTCAAACCCTTGCTAAAAATATTATCTTTCAAGTCTTAGAATGATTCCACAAGGCTGATAGGGCCAATATCTTTATCCTTATTTCACTGGTGATGAAATTGAGACTCAGGGTTCAAATGACTTGTTCAAGACAAACAGCCAGGCAGTATTTCCTGATTCTCTGGAACACTTTAGACTGAATACCAACTCTACAGAATAAAACCTGAGACACCGTGTTTATGCATTCCTTGAGTATCTTTGCCCTCCTTTTCAAACTTTCCCCTCCCTCTGTTTCCAGGTCTAAAACTAGACAGAGGACTGACCATAGGTTCCAAGTTTGAGCTTCTCCTGGCTAGTGAAAGATTTAACTGTGTGGTTTATCTGAGAACTGGCCAGAGAGCCTTCAAGAGATTTAATGAAATATGCGCTCTCTCCAAGTTGGTTTCTCTAAAACAAAAATCATTAAAAGCATAGGTGCAAGACTTCCCTTTATGGTCAAATGTGGGCTGCAAAGCAGAGCAGTAATATATTGGAACTCTGTCCTCCCATTTAAACAGCACAGCCCTTCAGAGCCGCTTTCCGGGTAAAGGGACCTAAGGCCAGTGAGGTCATGTTGGGCCACGTAGATAGTTGATGGCCTGGCCCTAGGTCTTCTGGCTCAGATTCCTGTTCTCTTTCCAAGTCAGCCTACGTGCTGTAGGACACACAAAACAGCAGCACCCTGAAGTGGGTGAATCTCGGTTTTAAGCTCCTTCCCCCACACAAACTTAGACCCATTCCATGCTGCCGAGCCTTACCAAATGAACACTCTAAAATGTGAGGTTTCCTTGAGTCTGTAACCAAACACTCAGATATTTCTCTGTGACGCTAAGTGCCAGTCACTGATTCTCGACAGCCTCGAGGTTAATATGTGCAAGTGGGTGTGCGGAGCTGGGGGGTAGGAAACAGGGAAAGGGGGAGAGGACAGAAAAAGACAAGAGAATCTATTTCTGAGCCCGTCCTAGTTCTGAGTGAGTAAAAAGATTTCTCTTGGTCCTCACCCAAGTTCAATGACTGTCTTTTTTTTTTTTTTTTAAATAAATGCTGAAGACACGTGAAGTTTATTTACCAACTTTCTCCTGCTTCCCCATGGAAGAGATCCATAAGCCCTTCTGGAATACTTGGGCTAAGCTTCAACCACCAGCTCACTTGTGGATTTCCAGTCACAGACTTTTCGGAACCACAGGAAGCCCAGATTTGCCGTTTCACCATGACAAGTGGCAATGACTCACTCCAGACAGAAGCAAACAAAATAGGCAGCCCTTCTATGTCCACTGTCAGCCTGGCCTTAGGCTTCTTACATTAAGCCTGTCTCCCTCAAAAAAAAAAAAAAAAAAAAAAAAGCACATGCAGAGCAAGGGCTCCCCGTGTTCTATGGAGTCACTCTTCTCTAAGGATTCACTTCTCTGTCAGTTGGCTGCTCTCAGCAGGTTCCATAGACCCCTCCAGTGGGGGCTAATGTTCGAGCTGACCACTGCCTCCCACCAAATGAAGCCAAGCCGGAAGCTCCACAAGCACTCAGATTGCTTGTTTTATAAATCACTGAGTCCTTTCCCACCCAGCCGTGCACCTTATCTCTTTATATGAAGGAAACTGAGGCTCCCAGAACAAGCCCTTGCCCAAGATCTCAAAACCAATCTCCAACAAAGTTCTGATTCCAAGGAGAATCGGGCCAGCAAAGAGAACCCAACCAGAACTGGATCCCCACTCTAACGCCAGGTCCAGCTTTTCCTGGTGTATTTTCAATGAGGCAGCGTCACTAAAGGAGCGTCCAGTGGGAGGGGGGAAAGGGAGAGGAAGAGAGAGGGGAGAAAAACTGGCAAAGAAGGCAACAGAACTGAGAACAGGAGAGAGAGAGAGAGAGAGAGAGAGGGAGAGAGAGAGAGAGAGCGCACTAGCGTCCGTCCTTTCTCTTCCCTTTGGGAGGGGGTGGTGGCAGCCGCACTCGCCCGCTCACACACACACCCGCACAAACCCCAGTCCCGCCGCCTGGCAAGCCTGTGCAGACTGGCTAACCCGCACTTAACTGTACCTGTCTTCCTGGGACCGCCCACCCCCTGGCGATCGGCTGGCACCGGCTGCCCATCCGCCTCGAAGCCCGGGAAGATGTGGCGAGGGCCGGGTGGTAGGACTGTAACAGCCCTTAATTTGGTTACATTCAAATAAACGGTTTCGTGCACCTCGGTAGCTAGCATTGTGTATTTTTTTTTTCCTGTTACTCTGTCAAAGCAGGGGGCCACGCCACGAGAGGAATGGCACAGCCCTCTCATTCCCGGAACGTAGTCGACCTCAGCTCTGAGGATTTCACAGAACACTCCTGCCCAGTGCGGGCTCCAACGAGAAGTAACTTTCCAGGAAGCCGCGGCCTGACAACCTAGCCCGGGAGCGCTGGCTGCCCCGCGCTGGCAGGGGACAGAGCACCCTTTTCCCCAAATCTGCAGCCGTCCACACGGGTTCAACAGTCCCTGGTCCCTACCACTGCCCCTAGCAAGCTAAAAGCTGCCGAGAGCGGAGCCCAACAGCCTGGGGACAGTCCGAGGCTCGCTTGATGATTTCCAGTTTGCCCTAGTCTGACAACTGCGTGCCCTGGGTTTTGTTTTATTGTTTGTCTTAGGGTCTTGATGTTTCCCCCCCTCCCTTGGGTTTTCTTTTTGTCTTCTCGCTTGCTACCTCCTTCCCTGTTTTAGAAGGCGATGGGTAGATGAAAAGTTGAGGTCAAAAAGATGGAGTGCCGGGACTAAGATTCTCCACCTTTCCAGAGACCTGGAAATCCAAAGAATAATTAAAAAAAAAAAAAAAAAAAACCTGGAAGAAAACTAAACTGAAAGCCCCTTCCGCCTACGTTGGCCCGAAAGGGGACGTTTCCGCCCAGCCCTCTTTAGAGCCAGAGCTACCAGGCTGAAGCCAGACAGACTCCAGGATTTCAGTATCTTATTTTCCCGAAACCGCAAGCTCTGAGACACGGCAGGGTTGCCTCGCCTCCCCAGAAATGAAACCCCTGTGGTCACCCCCTAAGTGCTCTCGGCGGCATCGTGCCTTTCAGGCAGGAGGTGTCTGCACAACCCCGGTCCAGTCCGAAAAGTAACAGGGGGGGGGGCGGGGGGTAGCATCACTGCACATCCTTTCTGTGGCGGAGGCTGGATCTGGGTCTCTCCTGCCTTAAGATACTGTTTTGTGGTCTTCTCGCCCCTCGCCGTGGGCTAACAGTGACAGAGGGAATTTTATAGGGGACAGGAATGGCTATCCGAGGAGCTTGTTGGAAGCGCAATCGTAATGGCGTATTTACCTCTGTCTAACGCTAGAGAGAGCCCGTCATCAAGGCTTGAAACTCCAGCCGGCTGCTCGCCCCGCCCCTCCTTTCCATTGACCTAGTTTGGCCACTGTCTGGATTTGGAGAACGCCTCTCTACTCCTCTCTATCCAGGATGGCTGTTGGATTGTTGGTAATCTAATAATTTCAATAGCTCGCTGAAGAGTCCAAAAAGGATCCTTCAAGTGTAAAATCATGGTCCAGGGACAAGGAGTTTGAAGCGGGTATGGGGTGGGAACTGGCTGACGCGCCGAGAAACATGCCTCTGGGCTCCCGGCAGGAGCGCTCTTTCCTAACAGGGTGCTCAGGTCTAGCCACCCCGTTCTGGCGAGGATGGGTAGAGTCAAGACGTTGCTCCTGTTCTGGAGGCAGGGAAGGACCATATTGGCGCCCCTGCCTCTGGGCCAGGCTGACACTAAAGATGAAAAGACAAGTTGGTACCGCGATGGCCTGCGGGGCTACATGAGCTAACCAGAGGGCTTTACGACTTTCATTTCTGTGTCCTGCCTCCAAGCTCTTGCAAGCCTGTAAGCTTCGAGGAAACGCAATGAACTAAAGGGATGTGTTTTATCATCAAGATCTGAAGCGCTGAAGGGATGCTCCCCACGAGCCTGGCCGAGACAGCCTCCAGAAGGCCCGCAGACAATGCCAGCAGCCCACGTCCTTTAGAAGAGATCTCTTCCCCCGTCCTGACTGGACTGGAATCGGCACTGGGGTGGGTGGGGTACCGCGAGGCGGGAGAGAGAGGCATGATCTCCCCAAGCAAACAATGCCTTTTCAAATTCGATCTAGACAGAAGTCGGCCAAGGTCTTTATTCACGCTAATGAAGATGGAAGGCACTAACTGTCCTTGGAAAGCGATGAGTCAAACTTGACCGCGCTTCAGACACGTCCCCAGATTCTTTTCCAACCCGAACAGAGGCGCATTTCTCCGCCGCGGCCTGGGACAACTCCCGCAGTGACAGAGGATGAACTGGATTCCTCCCCGACTCCGGAGAAGGGGGGTGGCTGGGGGGAGGGGGGGAGGGAGACAGCTGTGTCTCTGCAGTGAGGACGCAGGATGCCGCTAGAGGCCGCCAGCGCGGCAATGCAAGCGGGGGGGGGGGGGGGGGGGGGGGGGGGGCTTTCAGTTAAGAGCTCTGAGAAGGAAAACTTTACGGAGGAGATGGGACACATTCTTAAAGAATAATTCTCTATTTATTCACAGCCCCTATACACCGGCATACGCGAACACACACACACACACACACACACACACACACACACACACACACACACCTGGATTCTCCCCAAGCCACCAAAATACAGGATAAATCGGATGGAAAGGGACTGAGTCCGGAGTGCAAGTTTACAGACAGCTTGGTGCACATACCCAACTAGATGAAGTAGTCTCTGGTCACCCAGCTCTCAGTACAAGCACGCAGCACAGCCTTGAGATGTTCCGCCCCTCGGAATTTCTGTAACCTCCCCATGCCTGTTGTCAAAAACCTTAAGCTAAGACTGGGAGAGAACCGTTTCCAATGCAGACTGGGGACAGCAGTGACCTAAGGTCAAACTGCTGTCCTGTCCTCTCCTCTTAGATGAACTGGGATAAACTCCCTTGATGAATTCTCTGGAATCCAGAAACTTCCTTTAAGGCCTGATTCCACAACCGCAATGAAGAGGTTTAAACCTTAAAGCTCCTGAGAGTCCGGGTGTCATCCTTCGGCCGCCAACTTTCTCTGTGGAGAGGCGGCAGAGAGATGTCCTCGAAGAAAGTACTGTTTCTTTGTTGAGACGGGTGTGATGGCTGAGCGACTGCGGATGTGGACGGCATGAGCACACAGTTTTCATCTGTCGTCAAAACTTTGGGTGTCGGATGGCATCCTCATTGGAGAATGCCCTTCCATGTCAGTCCTGGTATATGCATGCAGAGACCACCGCCGCTCCGGGCGGGAACCTTGACCGTGACCTACCACTAGGTGGCGGACTCAGTCCGTTCAAGAATCACGGCTACCATAACCTTCTACACTGGGTACTCCTCTCGTCTCTTGAGGGTGGGGGGAATTGCTTCTAAAACTCAAGTCGGAAAACATTTATTTGAGCCGATGTCATCTCGTTCTTCCCATGCTCACGCCTCTAGCTAACAGCATACGGTTTCAGGAGCTGCTTTTGTGTATTATTTGGTTATTTGCACACACACCCCCCCCCATCCCCTCAACGCTAACTACACTTGCTTTCGGAAAGAACGAAACCTGAAAGTATTAAGAGAGATTCTTGCAAAAGGGGAGAGGAAGACAGACAGAGAGAGAGAGACAGGGGGAGGGGGGGGAGGGAGCGAGAGCCGGGAATAACCTCTATGATCCATCCCCAGGAAGGAATGCGGGGGACCGTCACCCACTGAGCAAAGCAGGGGCGCGGCACCGAATGGAATACGGTCTTTGGGGTGGTTACTGGTCTGGAACTGGGAAACAGCAAGGCAGGCTCGAGAGGAGCGAAACGAAGCCGGCCAGCAGGGCCAGCGTGCAGAGTGCTCGCTCGCGCATCGCTGCGGTCCGGTCCCACTTGTTGCGCAGCGTAGGACACCGGGCCCGCGCCAACAAGCTACTCTTGACTCTCACAGGGCTGCAGCCCAGCCTAGCGCTGCTCCCTGCGGTCCGCAAACCTCTCTCCCCGGCACCCCGGCACACGCCAACACAGCCCACGGGGAAACTACAGCGCTTTCAGTCCCACGGTTTATCTCACAGCAAAACATTCCTCCTCATCTCAGAGTCAAGACGCTCAACCGACTGCGGGCAGCTCAAGCCAAGTCCGAAAGGGAAAACCGCTCCGTCAACCCAGAGAAGTCGCGGCCAAGAGCCAACTGCCTCCTATGACCCCCACCTCCACTCTGTTAGGACACCGTGCTGGCTTGGAAGAACAACGTGTTTCTAACCCGTCTGACAAACTAACTGCAAAATATTGATGTTAAAAGTTCCATCAGAGGGATGGGGGCCCACATGCCTCATTACGGTCATTTCACAATTATTTTTCAAATATTTGACTTTTAGCAATAGTTTCACCCACCAAGGGGTGGCGCTGCCGCACTGCCTCCCCTGAAACTTAAGGTTTTTTTTTTTTTTTTCTTTTCACAACGGAGTGGGATATCCCCAGCAGGGGACAGAGGGAAGGAAGGATTTTGACATCTAGTCATTGGCATTTACTCAACCCATAACTGGAACGCCTCCTCGGGGCTCAGTAAACGGCAACTTAGAAATTTGGAATGCCATTCCTGACCACCCAGCCCAGAATAAATTAGTCTTTTCAAGAAAACACTCCTGTATGCCCTTCAAAACCGAGGAGAGGGGTAGTAATCAATGGATACCCGCTTTCCTGGGCCGTCTCGCCCCTCGGGTCACTTAGCTGTCGTCAACACTATATCCAGCCTTATCGTCACTACCAACGGATCCTTAAAATCACCCAACGCCTGAAAGTATTAGAAAAGAAATTCTTCCAAATAGGATACTGGAAACTTCTATTTATAAACTGTGGTGGTGGTGGCGGGGGGGGGGGGGTTGTCTTGTCCATCTACAGGTTTCTATTTTGGCCCCAGGACTCAACTGCAATCATTTTAGCAAGAGAAATGTCCATCTCCTGGTGTTCTCTCTCTATTTCCTCTCCCCCCCCCACCCCCAGGGACAAATATCTTTCCTTCTTTCATTAAAATCGGTATATGAAGACGAATATGATTTCACCTCAACTCCTTTGAGCTCATGCTTGCTACCTCCAGGAACAGAGTGTGGATCAGGGCCAGATGGACCTCAGCTTGGTCTGCAGACTAACGAGGTCCTGCTAAAGTGCCAAAGACTCTCGGTAGTAAATCTTGAGCAACCCAGATACCTGTCTCCGGATGGGA